TGCTGCTCCTCTTCTTGTATCCTCCACTTTTCTAACCTCAAGACACACATTCAGTGAAGGCTACTGAATACACTCAAGATGAGGGTGGAAACAATGTGCTTGAGGTACATCTGTAAGGCAATGTATTGGAAAGAGTGGGGAAACCCTGTCTCCGGCTGGGTGGCCCTGAGCAAGCACAGTGCTCCCTCTGGGCTTGTTTCTCCACTTGTCAAATGTGCAGGTTGGGTTGGATTCTCCTCGGGGGATCTTGCAGTCTTGTCTTCTGTGGTCTCCAGTTTAGGAGTAGGAGGAGAGCAAAGTAGGAGGAGAGCCTGTTTCTGTGGCTGACAGTCTTGAGCTTTGTTTAATCTTTCTACACTGAAGCCAGGTCTGTGGAATCACGCAAAATAGCCCCAGAGGAAGATGTTGATGGCCAGCAAGAGGACAGCGTTGATGTTGCAGATGCGTCTCCAGAGTGGCTCCTCCTCGATGCTTGTCAGCTTCTGTTCTAGTGCAGCCTTCTCTGCTGGGCTCAGGGCCTGCTCCCGTGCCCCAGAGAGCCCACAGAACCAGCCCCAGAACAACTTTCCCCAGGACCTGCATGGGGCTGGAGGGACAAAGCCAGAAAGGAAGGAGAGCAGGAAGGGGAAGACAAAGAAGGGTGGAGAAAGGAAAGTGACAGGAGAGGAGGGGAGGGAGAGAGATGATAAGAAACTGAAGGAAGGTATGGGGCAGTGCACAGAAAATGGGGAGGGGTGAAGCCACTGACTTGGTACTTTCTGCAAACCACAGATTGGGTGCTGAGCTGGTACTCTAGATTAAGTTCTGACCTTGGCCACTGCACCCAAACAGTCACGTAGTAGAAGCACTACTTTGTTGGCAAGGGGATGGTATATTAAGGCGGCAGGATAATGCAATTTATCTCAATTCATAGCACAAGTCCTGAATAAGGTCGGAAGGAAGGAGCATTGTCTCACCCAGGAAGAAGGAAGCGTTTGAGCCAGAGACACTGCTACAACTGCAATTGGGAAGGGCACTGGGCTGCAAGCCAGAAACCTGGTTCCAGGGCCAGCTCTGCCATTAGCTGACTGTGAGGCCATATGCAAATCACTCAGCTTCTCTAAGCTGCAGGTTCTTTCTGCCTCAGATGTATCAATGACATATGCCCCATTCTTTTCCGGGTTGTTCTGACTACCAAATGAGGATAGAAACTGGACAGCACTTTAAAAGTTACCAGTGCTGGAGCAATGGGAGAGGTTCTGGTGCATCTGATATTCTAAATGTGCATGAGACCAAACCCATGCAGACACGGCTTCCTCGGGGTGAGAAAGGGGCCTGTTCTGAGGTTAAAAGGTAGCACAATTCACTAAAAACTAAATTCAAAAGAAGTAATAAGGTAAATATTTTTAAGTTTTTTTTAAAAGCAGATATTATATTAAAAATAAAATTAATATAAAAATCATTTCATCGAGATTGAAACGAATGCACTGGGAATGAATGCTTTATTATTTTAATGGGTTTAGAACGTGGTAGTTGGTAAGTTCAATAAAACCAGAGTGTCAGAGATGCAAGAACCTTGGAAACCAGACCAGATGGCATCCAAGGTTCTTGCATCTTCCATCTGGTCTCCCCTGATTGCACAGGGGAGAAAAAAAGTCTCAGGAAAGTGAAGAGACTTGTTTAAGGTTACATAGCAACAGAACTGCACTAAGGATCATATGAATTCAGCATTTCATTTGTACTAGGCTTTATCATTTCCCAGCTGGTCCAAACATTCTCTTTTGATTCCCTTGGCAACCTTCTGAGACAGAGGATACACAGAGCTTCATATGCAAATTCATATACCCAGAGAGCCTGTCACTAAAGGAGTTACTAAGTGGTGCGCCATCACTCAATAAATCTGTGTCTAAAACCTGGGATGTACATATTTCTTTCAGATCTAATCTGGTGTCCTTTAAATACGCGTGCGCACACACACACACACACACATATATTTTGAGACAGGGTCTATTCTGTTGCCCAGGCTGGAGTTCTGTGGCACATTCATGGCTCACTGTAGCCTCAACCACCTGGGCTCAAGCAATCCTCCCATCTCAGCCTCCTGAGTAGATGTGACCAAAGGCATGTATCACCAGGCCCTGGTAATTTTCATATTTGTTGTAGAGATGGGATTTTGCCATGTTGCCCAGGCTGATCTTGACTCCTGAGCTCAAGCAATCCTCCCGCCTCGGCCTCCCAAAGTGCTGGGATAACAGGTGTGAACCACTGTGCCAGCCTCCTTTAAATATTTTTAACTTTCCCTGGCCCATGCCTGCCTGGAATCCTTTTGGAAGGGGGAGCCTCTTCCCTAGGCCTGATGTTTGTTTCTCTGGGCTGGGAAGGAGCTTTAGTGTACAACAGCACCAACCTTTCCCCGCCCTTGTACCTCCTCATGGTGGTGGTCTGTGATGGGGAGTGGGTTTCTCTCCTTGCACTTCTTGGCTGACTTGGTGCTTCCTTTTTCTGTCTTGGGAGCAAGTCGTCCACAGGGAGCAGGCATTCCTCTCAGCTTCTCAAGGGACAACTCTGTCCCTTGGCATGAGGACCAGCCAGGTAGTAGGTCTATCTGTGTAACTCTGTATAAACCTGTCTAGATCTGGGGTTCAGCTGTGGGAAAGTACAAGCTGTCTCCTTCCTCTTTCTCTTCGGGAGTTTCCTTTGCAGCTTTTCCCCTTCTTCCTTCCTCCTTCTCTTGGCAGCTGCTTCACCTCAAAAGAGCTCATGCTCTCAGATTGCTTTCTTCAATAACATAAGTTTTACAGGGGCCAGGACCCATTCTTTGCAATGATGATGGGAGAGTAGTTTTGAGAACTCAACGTCTGGTGCCTAGGCCACAAAGCTTGAAAAAAAGCAGTTATATCTTGCAAAGAAAACACACACACACACACACACACACACACACACACATTTGCAAAGCAAATGTCTATTTATGAATTAATTGGGGCAACTGATAAAATTAGGGAGGGTGATGTTGATCTTCCATAGCGTCTCCTGCAGTGAGCCTATGTGGTTTTAACCATGAAAGTTAGGAAGAAAATATATCCATCATTATGGATTGCTTTTTATAGTTGATTATTGGCTTTTAACTGCTGTAGCTTGGGAAGAAGCTCTGAGCCTTAGACCTTGGTGGGATTCTGGGGCTTATGGTGCCATTAACTCTAGGCAACTGGCTGTTTCTCTAGAATTAAGGCCTTAAGCAAAGCTGAAGGGCCTCAAGAAAAGTGGGAGCCTTCTCTGGTCTGGAGGAAAGCATAGGGTCCCTAAAACTTGGCAAAGGCACGAGAACTGTGTGCCATGGCATTGCCAACCACGCTGGTGCACCAAGCGATGCTTTGCGAATACTGTCAATGCTCTTAGCTCACTAGAGTTATTGCGAGTTTGGCACAAAAGAGGCTGGTATATAACTAGAGCTATGCCCGATCCAACAGGAGAAAGCTGCTGAGGGAACCCTAACTCCATCCAGGCACTGATACCTCTTAATGATTTTATTGTTTTATCACATGAGGATGCATATTATTTCTCTACCTGGATGTTATAAACAATGTCGTACCATTGTGTTTAAAAGCCCAATATTATTATGTTATTGACATTTTTATCCATTTTAGTGTAAACTCTACATCTTTGCACTACCTGTTTGCCTCCAAGAGATTCTCACCTCCTTGGGGACAGAGACCATGTCTTATTCATCTTTGTATTGAGACCTTCTTTCACTGAAGCAGAAAATAAATTTAAGACTTAAATTTGTTTGAATTTTTAATTCACGAGGGCAGGAGATTGATTTTGGACTTTAACTTGCAATTTCATTTAACTTTTTGGCTTTTATTTATTTATTTTTCTGGGATGCTTCTTTTTCTTTTACTTTTATTTTGGGTTTAGGGATACATGTGCAGGTTTGTTATACAGGCAAATTGCATGTCACTGGGATTTGGCATATAGATTATTTTGTCACCCAGGGAGAACCTTATAGAGTTTAACATTTTCCTTGGGAATTTTATAATTGAAAAAGTCTTTTTATTCTATCATTAGAATGTTTTGACATTGTTATTTCATTTCACTCTGGGAAGGTTATAGCTGCATTGTATCTAACACAGGTACCTCAAATCATGTCTTAAAATAATTTTCAACTTTAGATATTGTGTAGCCTTAGTGTAGATTTGAATGAAACACAGTGTAACTGATTTAACTGATATACTGTTCTAACACATTCTAACACATGAACCTCCCCGGGCACACTTCATGTGGCCCATCAGCAGTTCAAGGAGATGCCCAGAGGTGGAGGGGGCCTGTTTTAGGAACCTCATGAAAACAGAGACAACTCTGTGGAGACGTGGCTACTCTCATCCCACGAGGGACAACCACACTTCTGTATGTATAGGCAGACTTGTTGAGCCCAGGGGGAAATCAATAAATAATAAAGAAATGTGGTGGTGGGGACACAGGTGAGGGGGTTTCTTTGTCATGCCTCAGGTTTCCTCCCACGTAGAAGGAACACTGTGGGTGCAACATTCTTTGATTTTCTGCCCTTGTACTCATTCAACCTAGTGGAGATGAAGGAACTTCCGTGTTGGTAGATTTGGAAAGGATAAAGAGGACATGCTTGGCTCAGCCCTGCCCTTCTTTACACAGAGGACAGGACTGAGCCAAGCATGCCCTCCTTATTCTGTGACCCTGATCAGATCTGCCGGTGACTGGATGGGTACCTCTGTCGAATACGGAGGTTCCGTGTTAGGAAGTACATCTCGCCATAGATACAAACCAGCTCTTTCCACTTACACTTGATCAGCAATGAGGGCACTATTTTGGCTCTCATCTGCCTGACTCAATTGTCTTATTTTTCAAATAATTCAATAGCCTTGTGGGAAAAGAGTTAGGGTGATATTTACTAGGCTTTCTCAGAGGCCCCATCCCAAAGACTGCCCATGACATGGGTCTTTCGCCACTGCTCCTCTGTGATGAGTACCCCCCAGCCTGCCGCAGCCTACCTTCAGGCTGCTCCGGGTCTGGGCTGGAGTTCTCCAGCACTCCGCCTCCTGCAAGGCACTCCCCAGCTGGCCTCTTGGATATCTCTGGTGTGCTCTCATGGGCCTCCTTCTCCAGCTCAAAGAGGGGGCAGTTCCGAGTCCACCATGTCAGGCGTTTGAGCTGAAGGGAAGGAAGACATTGGAGTCAGTTTCCTTGGAGAGAAGTTAAGCTGTAGAAAAATAGGGCCCCATTTATGGAAGGGCATCAGAGCAACAGCAGAGAGTACAGTGAACAAGGCCAGGGCTGGGAGTCAGGAGGCCTGGATCTTAGCCCTGACTTCTCCTTTCTTCAAATATGAACACTCCCTGTTCCACACCAGGTGTACTGTAATACAGACCTGAAGCACACCTGGGCCCTGTTCTCATGGATTTTACAGACTGAGGGAAACGAGGCTGTATAGGGAGGCAGGCGTTTGAGAATAAGGCTTCACAGGTCAGGCTGAGGAATTGTAGCTAAAGAACAAAAACCCTGTAGGCAAATGGAGAGTCACTGCAGACTTTAAGCAAAAGGTAGAGACTGTAAGTGCTGGAAAATTCAAAGATTTCTTGGAGTGAATTGAAAGGAGCTCAGCCTAGAGGATGTTGCAAAAGTGAAGCAAAAAGTACTGGGCACCTGAGGAACTGGGTAAAGAAGGTGAAATCAGGACAGTGTGACTGACTGAATGAGCCAGGTGAGGGACAGGGGAGAGGCTAATAAGGCTCTGGGGTTCCTGCCTTGGGTGACAAGACATACAGTGATGCTTATTCCAGGAATAGAGGACACAGGACAATGAGTGGGTATTAGTGCTGGTGAGAGAAGGAAGAGAGAGAAAGGGCAATGGGAGAGAGAGAGAATATGTTCACGAATAGACATGATGATGTGTTCCAAGAGTCTGCAGGTCCTTCAAATGGAGATGTCCAGGTGAGGAGAAATAAACCTTGTTTCCTTGGAGGACCCTTGTGGCGTTCTCTCTTCTCTTTTACGGTGGCTCAGAAAACTAAATCACAGCAGTTCTCTGTCTCCTATGAGTGGTGTTGGATTCACCACTGCCTGAGCTCTGAGGCAGCTTTCTGGTACATGTTGAGCTGGGTATCCCCTATCCTGCTCCCAGCTTCTTATTTCCACTGTGCTGGGCCCAAGCACACATCTTTCTGGAATCATGAGAGCCTGGGAAGCTTCCTTGCTTGTATTTCTCAACAAACCTTACTTAGTACTTTTGCTGTGTGTCACTGGTAGCATATGGACTGTGTCTCTTTATGTCACCAGGAAAGAGTTAGATTTTGGGGTTTGAATCTTGGGAGAGGGTTTTGGCTGCAGATAGAGAATTGAGTGTCACCTTTATATAGAGAGTTGTTGAATTTATAGCCCACGAGTATTGTTGGCTGAGACAGGTTATAGGCCATAGATGGGTTCGTAAGGAACACTGATATTTCAGGGGCAGGCAGAGAAGCCTGTGAAGAAGTCAAAAGAGTGATTGGAAGGGTAGGCAAACAATCAAACAAACAAAAGAAAACAAAGCCCAGGGGAGAAATATTTCATGGAAGCGACCAAAGAGAGGTCTTCAGGGTGCAGGAGGTGGTGAGTAGTGTCCAGTTCTCCTGTGAATTCACTTAAATAAAGACAGGCACATGACCACTGATTTTAGCAATAGGGTGTTATCAGTGACTTCAGTGAGAGTGATGTCAGCGGAATGCTGGGGGCGACAGCCAGACAGCAGCGGGTTAAGAAGCAGACAAGAGGTGGGAAGTGGAGGCTGGGAAAGGAAACCATTCTTTGCAAAAGTCTGCTGTTGAAGGGAGGAGAGGGAGGCAGCAGGAACTGGAGGACAACAGGATTCAGAGAAGCATTTTAAATGGGGAAAGACTTTGGGATGAAGGGTGAGGACGAAGAGGTTGAGGATTCAGCAGGAGGAGGAGCTCGTTTCTGGTGTGAGTCACTGGAGAGGTCAGCCTGGGAAGGCCCCGCTTTTTTTGTAGGAATCAGTGAAGCTAAGGGTATAAAGTCATCTTGCAAACTCTGAAGCACCGTCCATAGAAAGAGTGTTGTCCACGATGTCCACTCAGTGTTTCATATCGACTCTGATATGGGCTGACTTGCGTCCTCCCAAAATTTCTGTGTCGAAGTCCTAACTGCCAGTACCTCAGAACGTGACTGTATTTGGAGATGGGGTCTTGAAAGACAGCTAAGGTTCAATGAGGTCATCAGGACGGGCCCTAATCCATTATGACTTAAAAAGAGAGGAGCTTCAGTCACAGGCAGGCACAAGGGGAAGACCATGTGAAGATGAGGAGAAGACAGGCTTTTACAAGCTTTTACAAGAGAGAGGCCTCGGAGGAAACCAGCACCGCAGACACCTTGATCTCAGACTTCTCGCTTGTGGAACTGTGAAACCATAAATTTCTGTTGCTGAAGTCACCCAACCTACGGTCTTTTATTTCAGCAGCCCTGGCTCTAGACCGTAAGGAGGAAAGGCCTCAGAAAACTGAGCATCAGTGCTCAAGGGCCGTTGCTTGTGAGAGGTGAGGATTTCAAGTTGAGATCTTTACGTAGTAAGCTCTCTGTTTCTTTTCTCATATATTTGTTACTTGGCCACTCAGAAATTCTCTATTTATTTTTCAAAGTTCTAATTCAAAGTGTCCTAGTCTGTGTGCCATCACTGGGCCCCCAGGAAGTGACTGCCTCTCCCTCTGTGCTCTGCCCCTCCCATTGAGCTTGGTCCTTCTGCACTTTCCCTTTGTATAGTGACAGCTTGTGTCAGTGTCTGTTTCCCCTGAGGATAGTCTCTGGCAGGGACTCTTCATCTCATCTTTGTAAGCCCAGGAGAGTGCCTAGCACATAGTAAGTACTCACTGAGTAATATTTGAGTTGAATGAATTACTTTTCATTGGGGAATTCACAGACCAAGGAACTTTCCCTCTCAAGGACCTCTGTGTGGCCACAAGGGAGACCATAACCCAACAGAGTAAAACTCAGTGGTGGAATTCCAGGCTACAGGGGAAGGAGGAGCATTTCTGGAGGGCCTCAGTATGAGCAAAACACTTGCCTGTTCCTCAGGGATGGGAGTTGTCCAGAGGCTGACAATGATGATGACGATGGCAGTGAGCCCGCAGAGCAGGAGTGCAAAGTACAGGTAGTGGAAGTCCTTCAGCACTGCTGGCCGCGGGTCCACCTCCCCGCAGGCTGGCGCTGGGTATGAGAACTCCAGGATCATGCGCAGAAGCCCCAATCCCAGGCCAAACATGAGGCCCCAGAAGGCTCCCTGTGAGAGATGGCAGCATGGGCTGGGGTGAGATCCAGGTGGGAGATCTCACCAGGTGGGAGATCTTCCAGGTGGGAGACCCTAGGAAGGTAAAACTACTCTGCCCTCAACTCTCTCTCCCACTGGTTTGTTACCTTGTTGGGCAAATCCATCTACTAATGGGGAAAAGAGCTCCCCATTAATACTGAGACTTTGTCTTGACTTAAAGGCACAGTGGCGTGGGGGTTCTAGAGTCAGACAGACTAAGATTTGAATCCTGGCTCCACTGTGAAGTGACTGAACCAATGACTCGCCCTTGTTGACTCAGAGGTTTCTCACTGGGGGCGGTAATTAAAAAATTCATAAAATTAAATCAATACTAAGTTACTTATTAGATGGTAAATATTCAACTACAATGGAATAAGCTTTTGTAATAATCAGGGAATACCAGGATCTCCTTCCCAACCTTCTGTTATGATAAATCAGAAATCAGAATAGAGATTTCCTTCTGTTGTTGTTTTTAAGAAAAGCTCTGGAACCTTGCATGTCTTTCTTCTTTATAGCTCCATTTGGCTCTAACATGTACCTGTTCCCAGAAAGTAAGAGTATGGGTGATACTGATCCTGATTTCAAAAACTTTAGAATGAGCAGAAACACCCGGAGTTCAGCCAGGTCGGTGAGACGAGGCCTTTGCAGACAGTAGGCATTTGCTTAGGTGCACCACCAAGGGCGGGGTTTCCATGACCTCATTTTCAATGACCTTAAGCGCTCACATTGTTTTTGCGTGGTGGTGTCCATGACATCCCTCCGTTTCCCAAGGTACAGCCAACCTGCATCTTCTAGGCTATCCTGGGGAACAACCAAGTTTCTGGTCCTGGAAACCCTAGCTTCCCCCCAGATTCTGTCAGGTTTCAGTGCATTACATGAATGATGCATGTTCAGGAACCCTTGTAAGGTCACACTTTGTCATCATCATTGTCATTGCTGTTATTTTGCTTACACATAGAACCCTATAGTGTTAGAGATGGAACAGGATCTAGAGATATTGCAGTCTGTCTTGCACATTCACTCACACTGTTCCTTGTGTCTGGAACATTCTTCCCCCTCCCATTAATCCTTCAGATCTCAGCGCAGATGTGACTTCATCGGGAAGTCTTCCTTGGCCCCTCCTTGGAGCCCCATAGGTTAGGTGCTTGTGCTCTTTAGTTTCCCACCAGCCAGCATGCTTCATTATTATTGCTTATTCAATCATCTCTCTGCCGGCCCAGCGATGGCATATCTATGTGAATCTTTAAACCATTGCATCCCTGGAGATGCCATCATAAGACTAATAAATATTTGTTGAATGAATGAATGAATCTAGGTCAAATGCTGTGGTCAGGAAAATGAAAGCCTAGAGAGGAAGTGGGTTTTCCCAAGGTCACAGAGACAAGGTGATTGAGAGACCAGATCTCCAGCCCCTCTTCTGTATGGGAGAGAGAGGTGCACTGCACTCACGGGCTCTGTGACCCTCTTGCAGAAGATGGCCAGCAGGAAGAGAGCAGTGATGGGCGGGGCCAGGTAACTGGTGACAGCCTGGATGTAGTCGAAGAGCTGCCCACTGTTGGAGGTTTGGATGATGGGGATCCAGAGGATGCTGATGACAACCAGGAACACCACAAACACTCTGTGACAGAAAGCACAGGGCACTGAGGCACGCTCAGGTGGGCGTGGTGGGGTGTGGGGTGAAGGTGATGCGAAGGAATCAGGAAGGGAGAAGGGAGGGGAATGCACGATCACTAGATCAGAGAAGGTTGGCAGCCAGAATCTCAAATACTAAGAATCAGAGACTTAGACTTAAAATCTCAGAATATGAAAATTTTGGAATTGAAGAAACTCATAGTTCTAAAGCCTCCATGACACTTATATATTAGATACTTTCAAGGTCATGTCACCCACCTGTTGCTGTTCATAGAGGAATTTATACCTTCCACTCCCCCGCAATTTATACCTTCCACTCCCCCGCAACCCAGTAAAAAACCTCTGGTCTCTTATTGGAATGTCTTTTCTCCTCTTTTCCATCCCAGCCCTGTGTAGGGCAGCTCTTTCCCAGGATTACTGCAGCCTCCAGAGACTAGTCCCTTCTCCAGGCACTGATGCTGTCTCCCTTACTGTGGCATTGATCTTGGGAAAGAATCCCACTTCTTCACCTGACTCCCTCTTAACCAATGGTGACCTAAGTCCCCAAAGCATTCTGCACTTATGATTTTACAGGTGTGTGAAGTTCATGAAAAACTTTTCTTCAGTGTGTTGGGTGCAATAACACATATGGCCAGTAGGTAGAGCCCAAATTCCACTGATTGAAGAAATGGTAGCAAAACCAGTTCTTGTGCATAAATAAGGAACGCTTTTTTGACGTGTCACTGCATACCTGTCTTCTCCTCTCGTTTTCCTCCCATTTTGCCTCTCTCAGACTCCACTAGAGCATCAGCTAGCCAAGTAGCTTCCCTGCTGCTTATCTCCCTCCTCTTTGCACAATCTGTCCTGCACTCAGATCCTGCAATGGTCAATACCCGTGTCTACGGCTGGGGGAGCACAGTTGAACAGGCAATAGGAATCCATTAGGCAGCCGTGGGCAGAAGGCATCCTGGTGGAAAGAACAGTGAGTGCAAAGGCAGGGAGATGTGAAAGAGGACGATTCCTAAACTCAAGTACCTATCCACAAAGTGGGAGAACTTTAGTCCAGAAACCCAAGTTAGGGAACCTTCAATTATGAAGCAAAGATTTCAAAAAGGGCCCCTTCATCTTATGTAAACTACAAATCTCCAGCCTATGAAAAACAAAAAAATATTAGCTGCTAAGTTATGCTTTGGAAGCGTACAACTGCTATCCACAAGATAAAGTTCAAATTCCTTAGCTTGGCGTCCAAGGCTCTGCATCATTTGGAGACAGCCCTCCTAAGAAAATCTCTATTGACACAAACGCCTTGCTTTGTTACCTGTGTTTCCACCTATCTCAGTAAACTGTAAGCACCCTGAGGGCAGAGCCATATAACCCAACCGTGGCTGCCCTGCATGTGGGATGTGATGCATAGTGGATGTGTAGAGTCAATCTGGTGGATTAAATTAATAGCATTTCTTTAACCAGGTGTAACATCCAGAGTTGGTTGGGAATAACTTGGGTGAGCTGCTTGCTAACTTTCCTTGCATTTATACAGTTTATCTTCCATTTCTGAAGGCTTTTTCATCTCTCAATAACCCTGTTGATCAATTCCAAGATAAAGTTACCAGGGAAGAGGTGTTTTTTCCTATTATTCTGAAAAAAGGAGTGGTCCAGGGTTAGGGAAGGACTTACCTGAAATCATGTGGAGAGCTGGAACTTGAACCCAGTGCTCTGACTGCCAGTCCAGGGCAGGGTCTGACCCAGCCAACATCTGCTCAGGGTAACCCAGGGCAGGGGAGAGGGGAGAGGACACTCCGGAAGGAGGGAAGGAGGGGCCAGCTCACCTGCCCACCACCATCAGCTCCTGCTCTGTTGCCTTCCTGCGGAAGCGTTGCCACACATCAATGGCGAACAGGGTGCTGCTGCTGTTGAAGATGGAGGTGAGTGAGCTCATGAGGGCGGCCATGATCACAGCAATCATCAGGCCCCGCAGACCTGGGGAGAGACGAGGCTCATGGGAATGGAGAGCCTGTTAAGGCCGACTCTGCCAAGACCACAGAGGCTGCTGTAGTGTCCTGCAGAGTCAGGAGCTGGGGGTGGGGAGGAGGAAGGGACGGTGTTGGATGAGGTGTCCATCCAACACAGATAAGAAATCCTAGACCACAGAACTAGAGGCTGGGTTCTCTCCATCTCTGATGCCCAGGCTTGGTCTCTGCCTTGCTATGTAGCCTTGGGTAACTCATTTGCCTCCCCAACACCCCCCTGCCCTGAGCCTCAGTCTCCTCATCTGTCCTATTAAGGCATATAAGACTAGGTGATCTCTAAGGTTCTCTGAAGCTTTGACATCTGAGTCTGGGTTTCTCAGCTTGTAGACATTTGGTTAGTGGGTTGCTGTGCGGGGAGGAGAAAGGTGATTATTAATAATTGGGTGGATCTGTTTAGTGTTTCTACACCTTCTTCATTGACATGGTAGTGTTGGGCTAAAGCCCTGGCCTGGGAGGTAGCAGCTTTGGGCTTGTTTTCTGGCTCTGCAAGTACCCAGCTGTATGTATGATCCTTGGACTAGTTCATTACCATTTCTGGGCCTATTTTTCTACCTGGACAAGGGAGGATGGTACCCAGTGATATCTGAAGTTTCCCTAACAGTGACCAAGCTTCTAGAGATAGGACTGCTCACCCCTGGGGAGATGATCCCAGCCCTGGTCCCACCTCAGTCCTCTTTCCTTCCAAATCATATATTTAACCACCTTCTGATGTTCCCCTGTCTCCCTGGAAGAGTCACAAGTGCCTCAGACTCAAGTGCTCCAAACTCAGGTCCCATCTCCCTCTGGGGCCTTCTGTTCCCCTCTTTAGTTATTGTCTTTCCAGCCCTACAGCAGAACTCAGGGCTAGCTGAGACCCCTCCCTGCTTACCGCCAACCTGCCCCTCAGCGCAGCTCTGTCCTATCTGGGCCTCCCACCATGGCCACTACTGCCTGGATTCACTCCTCCTCTACCACAGGGAGGCAGTAACTCTACTCATCTGCTGCCCTCCATAATCCCATCTCTCTTTGTATGTCTCCAATCTCAGTATCATTATAAACCCACAGTCTAAACACCAAGGTCTGGGACCCTACTTGGATTTCTCTGTCTTTAATATCCCTCAAATCAAGTCCTGACAATTCAACCTCACAAACATCTTTAAATCCCTTCTCTCCATATCTGATACCACTGACTTGGTCCAACCCAATATCTCCACCTACCTGGACCACTGCAAACACCCCATGGACAATCTCCCTGCCTACCCCCAAGCCTGCCTCATACAGAGTCATCCTTGTAGACTGGTCTTGCTAAAACACAAACCCAGTCATGCTCTCTCTGACCAACCCTCCCCACCGCCTGTTGTCCCAGGACTCTGCTCCAGAACAAGGCTTGGTTGTGACATCTCTACCAGGAAGGTCGTCATTCCTCCTGGCTCCTGCATCCACACTGGGCTGCTTTCAGGTCAGACTTCATAACCTCTCTTCACCCTGGGCCTTTGCACGCACAGCTTCTCATCCTTAGAATGACATTTTCTATGCCCCTCCTGCCATGTCTGCCTGTGGTTTAACTTGGGGTGCAGCTCCATTTCCTTCCCTCTGGGAGACCTTCCCAACATCCCCCAGCTGGGTCAGGTGCCTTCATAGGGCTCCCTTAGCTCACACTGGGTCACCACACTGGTCCCATTGAATTGTGTCTCTGGCAAGGCCAGGCACCCTGGAGACTGCACGGTGCCTGAGCAGGGGCCTGCCTTCTATCTCTGCATCTCCAGAACCTGCCCACAGAGCTGGTGTCTTACATACAAATGCTTGTACAAATTGTGTGTGTTAGGATGGGGGTGCAGAGGTGAATAGTTTTCTTCCCTCTTCCCACCCATGTTAGTGCCATCCCTCCTGGGCAGTGGAGATGGGAGGAGGCTGGAGGTGGGAGTGCAGGGTGGGGTGGGGAGAAGAGACTCACCAACAGGCATGAGAGCCACGACTAGCTTGGGGTAGGCGATGTTGGAACATCCCACTCGGGCCCCACAGATTCTTTGGCAGATATCAGGGTCCACACAGCCCACCTCATCTGCGGAAGAAGTGATGGCAGTTAGAGTTGGTGATCTTGTGCCTTTTCAGGTTGGCCTAGTATTTGCCTTCAAAAACTACAGGGTAATGCTCACTGGAAGCTCTAGCAGGGACCCATGTCTGCAAGGTGAAGGGGCAAATGGTGTCTGCATCTTTGGTAAATTTCTTGCTCATACACTTACAACCTGATTCACATTTTTTTTTACTGAAATAATACTTTTGACCCACAAAGCCTAAACTGCTTTCGTTTTCTTTTGTTTTTTTGAGATTGAGTCTCCAGCCAAGGCTGGAGTACAGCGGTGCAATCTGCAACCTCCGCCTCCTGGGTTCAAGCAATTCTCCCACTTCAGCCTCCTGAGTATCTGGGATTATAGGTGTGCACCACCATGCCTGGCTAATTTTTAGTAGAGACAAGGTTTCACCATGTTGGTCAGGCGGGTCTCAAACTCCTGACCTCATGATCTGCCTCCCAAAGTGCTGGGATTTCAGGCGTGAGTCACCGCACCCAGCCTTCTTTTGCCTCCCCTCCCTTCCCTTCCCTGTTCTTCTTTTTCTTCTCTTTTAATGCTTTTCTTTCTTTTTTGACAGGGTTTCTCTTGCTCTGTCTCCCAAACTGAAATGCAGTGGGGCAATCATATCTCACTGCAACCTCAACTTCCTGGACTCAGGATCCTCAGCCTCCCTAGTAGCTGGGTCTATGGGTGCATGCCACCACGCCTGGCTATGTGTTCTTAAGAGACAAACTTTGCCAACCCCTGCTCTGGTCTAACATTTCCCAGGGCCACGTTCCCATTCTCCAGACACTCTTTGAAAGCCCCGGATCCCAACACCCAGAGAGCAAGACTCACTCTTACCTGGGAACAGGGCCCGGCTGATCATGCCAGGCATGACGATGAAGAACATGGGGAGGATCTTCAGGTAGCCCCCCAGCACGGAGCCTCCCTTGGCATGGGACAGACTCTTGGCCGAGAGAGACCGCTGCACAATGACCTGAAAGGGCAGCAAATGAGGAGTGCAGCTCAGGTCGAGGAGGGCCTCACTCAGTCACAGGTGAGCCCTGGCACTGGACACTGACTGTGTCTCTACCCAGTGCAGTCCCAGTCCCAGAATGAGGTTCAACCCTCTATGCATCCAGGCACTGGCTCTCTCTGCAGGAAGCCACCCCACCTCCAGGCAGGCTAGGCCAAGCCTAGTTGGGGAATTACCTGATCTGTGCACCAACACCAGGTGGCCAGCACTGTGAGCCCGAAAATGAGGCCTGGCCAAGGGATGTCCCCGCTCACAGGGTCCCGCAGCATGTGGAAGGCATCGGGCCGTGGGAGGTGACAGGTGGTGTTGGGGACTGTGACATTAGGGATGGCCTGCCTGTACCGCTGCTCCAGGCCTGGGTACCAGCCCACATCCTGAAAGCCTGTGAGGAGACAGTGAGTAAAGCAGCCCTGAGACCCCACTGAGCCTGTCACTCAGCACACCCAGGCCCCAGCCACACGTGGGCCCTCAGACTGGAAGTGGTATGGGGATTGGGGGTGAAGCAGGAAGATGGGACTTGAGCTCAAGACCCCTGGTTTGAAGTAGCGAGAATCCTGCTCTTTGGGAGCCCCAGCCTGAAGAGAGGATATGGCTCACATAGATCTATGCTCTAGAAAGTTCCAATCAAGCTGTGGAGGTGACAGAGACAGGAAAGAGAGGAATTCGAGAATGAGGGTGGGTGTGTTTAGGTCTCTTCCTTACCCAGAAACATGAGGACCAGGGCTCCCCCCACCATGATCACCGTCTGCAGGGCATCTGTGTAGATCACGGCCGCAAGGCCCCCTGGGGACCCAAGGAGAGGGCTCATCAGTCAGCACCATTGCAGGTCCTCTCTGGCTGCCTGCCCTGTGCATGGCCACACTGGGGAGACCAGAGAAGACACAGAGCCCTCTTAGCAGGGGACTCTGACCACCTGCCTTTCTCCACACCTAGTGCTCCCCTCTGTCCCTCCCTTGCAGGATGCCCACTGGTCACAGTCAAAGATGCTGGGGTCCCTTCTGTCTTGACAGCGGCTGACTGTGGCCATCACACCACAGCTTTGTGTTATTGTTTAATGCCCCAAGTCCATTCCTTGGCTTCTAGTTCTGCCAGTAACACTCCTGCTTCCTCCTCCCAATGCTCATCTAATGCCCCGTCTCTGGAGCCCAACTTAACCCTAAGTAAGGCAGTCCTGTACTGGCCTTCCAAGGTGCCCAGCCCTGTGTGAGGAGATTTTGAGGAAACGGGAGGAGGTGGGTTGTGGTCTCTGCCTGGGGCAGCTTGCAGTGACTCTGGCTTGGGTCATGGTCCCCCTCTCTACCCTGTTCCCTGGGTAGTCAGTCCTATTTGGTATTTCTTAGTGTCTCTCCGTCCCTGTCTCTGCTTGATTCTGTTCCTCCTCCCATTTCTGCCTTTTCACCCCACTGTCTTCATCCCTGTGTCTTTCATTCTGTTCCCCTATGTTCTTCTCTGCTGTGTCTCTGTCTCAGCCTCTCTTTGCCTGTGCCTCTCCTGTTTCTCCGTCTCTCTGTCAGCATCAGTTTGCTGTCTCTCTGTCCCTCTCTCTGGTTGTCCCTCCTTCAGTCTTTCTCTCTGGGTCTCTGCCAGTCAGAAGCTTCCCTCTTGCCCTCTTCTGGCCTCAGTCTCTGCAGACCAACATGACCTTCCCTCCGCCTACCTGCGATGGTGTAGATGGCTGTCACTACCAGCAAGATCCCCGTGGAGAGGTACAGGTTCCAGCCCAAAGCCATCTGGATGAAGAGGGCTCCAGAGAAGATGTCAGTCTGCAGAGAGCCAAGACCCAAGAGGCCAGGCCACCCGAGGCCCTCAGAGTGGACACATCACCTGCCTGCCCAGCAACACCAGGCGCCCTCAGCCCTCATCACACCATGAAAACAAGCTTTAAGTGTTGTGCTAAGGAGTGTGAGCTTTATCTTGCAGACACTGAGGCGCCATGGAGACTTTAAAGCAGAGAAGTGTTGTATAAAGCCTTGAAACAGAAATTTAATTGGGTGTCTGGTCTGCTAGACTTGAAGGGAGTGGTGGTGAATGAAGGGGAAGACAGAGAAAGTGAAGGAAGGAGCTGGGCTGCAGAAGAAGAGGCCGTTTAGGAGAAGAGAGGAAGAACCAGAGAGCTGCTTGCCTCTCCCTGGCAGAGCAGAGCCTACTTGGCTGCCGGATGGCCCAAGGCTGACCCAATGCGGCGGGAGCCCTGGTGCAGATAAACATGGGTCTTGGGTCATCTACATACTTGGGTTTATTAGCAGACATGGGCTCATAGCCTGTGCCTAAGCTGACTTCGGGTCGTTCTCAAACATTGGTGGAACAAGGGCCTTAAAGTGTTTTTCAGCCCTAGACCTGGCAACGAGGTGATTCAGTTCCCTTCAGTGTTTGCTTATGGATCGCCTTCCATGATTGTTTTGTGAACCTGTTACAGGCTCTGAAACATAACAGAGTGGAAGACCTGGCCTGGGTCACAGAACCCAGACTTCAGCTTCGGTGCTAGAGCTAGCCCTCTGCGTGGACTTGGGCAAGTCGTTTGACCTGTCTAGGTAGTTTCCTGAGTTTAGGTCAATAGAGGAGGATTAAAGATCTTTCTAACTCTAACTGTCTAGGCAATTAATGCACAGTTGATGAATGAAGAATCAATTAAAGGAAAAACAAGTGAATGAACTCCGGATTGTGAATTCCTTCAATGTAGGGACTGTCATTCACTCCAAAAATATTTATCATTCCTCCCTGACTATCCCAGTGCTGAGGGGAGCATGCGTTACAGGTTTATAGATCCTGCCTTCCTTCTTCCAGCTGTGATTGTCAGCTTCCCCTCAGCAACACACTCCTGATGCTGCACTCAGCACCTCCCTAATCAGCATTGCCAGACACAATGGCCGGATTGCAGTGACTCTCACCGAGATCTTGGTGAAGATGTAGAGGATGAGAGACAGGACAGACATGTACACCTGGATCCTCTGGCCCCCAAATCGCTTCTTCAGGTACTGGGGCATTGTGACCACACCTGCTGCGATGTACACAGGGACGAAGACCCAGCCCAGGGCCAGGAGCAGCCAGGTTGCCTGGGAGAGGGGAGGAGACAAAGGTATCCAGGTCCTGGATGCAGACAGAGGGGTGGCTTCCCACCCAGAGGCAGCCCTGTGTTGTGGGAGGCCCCTAAGCAGAGAAATAAGGGATCTGGGACCTGACACCAGTCCTTCTGTGTGACCTTGGATGGATCCCTCTGTCTCCTCCAGACCTTGATTTCCTCATCTGTAAAATGGGTTATTGATTCACCATGGAGCCTCCCAGGAATCTCTAAGGATCCTCTCAGTACTAATGCCAGAGATGGAGGTGGGTTAGACCCTCATTATTCTGGAGAAACCAAGCCAGCTTCCTTACGTTCCACTCGAAGCCACCCACGGCAAGGCCTCCAGCAGCTCCTGTCCCAGCCAGGCCGATGAACAAGCCACTGCCCACATTGCTGGACATCAGAGATGCTCCAATCTGCAAGGCACACTTGAGTCAAGGGCAGGAGTCAGGAGTGATCTGAATTAATCTGGAGCGAGGACCATGAGTGGTAAGGGGGCATGGAGCTGATGTTTATTGGGTACCCACTGTATGCCAGGCACTGCATTCATAAATACATTTCATTCCATAGCTATCCACAGGGAGGGGGATGAGTCTTTCCAGGTTACAGAGGAAGGAACTAATGTTAGGAAATTCACTGGCTCCAGGTCACCCAGTGAGTAAATGGTGAAATGGGAAAAAGAGGCAAGTGGGAAAGAAGCCTGGCAAGTGGGGAGTGTGGACCTTGGCACTGAGGCCGTGGGTCTGAGGGTCTCCAAGGGAAGGAAGCTGAAAATGATAGGGAAGCCCCATAGGAAGGAAGGAAAAGCCCTCCTGCCACCCCAGGGCAAGCCAGACAGAGGGAGGAGCCCAGGGGCTGAGCACAGGTCAGGCTGGCCTCTGAGCTGTTAGTTCTCCTCCAGGGAGGCAGCCAAGCACTTGGAGGCAGTAGAGAGCAGGAGGATAATGGGCATGATCAGGGCAGTCGGCGCCTGCGTAGCATCTCCAGGAACCAGCTGGTGTTCTGAGTATGGGGGCTCATTTAACTCCTGCCACAACCCTCGGTGCTACTTTTATCCCCATCTTACCCATGAGTGAACTGAAGCACAGATAGGTAACCTGCCCGGGTCTCAGAACTACTAAGTGGTCAAATGAGGATTCAATCCCTGGCTGTCTGGCTCAGTAACAAACACTACACAAATGGTGCTTGGCATGTAATGATCACATGGGCAATGTTACCTCTTATTATTAGATGGGATCCCTGACTAGGAGGGGAGAAGTGGGAGAGGGGCTCTGCAGTCTGGGGGGAGGACTAAGGAGACCTCGGGGAGAGGGCTGGGGGCAGGTGGGGGTGGAGCCGTGTTCCTTTCTGTACCCTATGTCACCACAATAAAAACACTTCCTCTATCAACACCTCAGCTTCTTCACCTATACAATGTGGGACTCACTTCCACCCAACGTCCTGTTCTTCCGGAGGTGCCGTAAAAGTGAGAGGAAGGGAAAAGCACTGAGAAATTCAGACAAAGGCAGTAGGCAGCGTAAAGGCACAGAATGAGGAACAGGTCTGACACTGCTGAGACCCTGGTGCCAGCGCCTCTGACGTGCACATGCACAATCACATGTGCACACACACACTCACATGTGCACACACACAGGCACAGGACACACACACAGTCACACATGCACACTCACATGTGCACACACAGGCACAGGACAGGATACACAAGCACAGGATACACTGTCACACATGCACACTCACATGTGAACACACCACACACAGAGGCACAGGACACACACAGTGTCACACATGCACACTCACATGTGCACACACACAGGCACACACACACTCACACATGTAAATACTCATGCACTGATGCACTTGCACAGTCACACACATACACTCACCCACGTGCACATGTTCTCATACATATGCTCTCACACTCACAGGTATGAACACACAAGCACACATACACTCACAAAGCACACACACACAAGCACACTCATGCATACACAGTGCCCATGTTCACACATGCATACACACTCAGACATGGAAACAAATTCACACAGTCACTCACACACACACTCACTCCTCCTCTCAGGTGGCCCCGGGGTCCTGGGGAGGCTGGGCTGGACCACCCAGCCAGAGCAGAGAATACCAGGCCCCCTGCCTCAGAGGAAGAAGCCTCCTCTGGGCAGTTCTTGGAGCAGTGAGGTACCTCCACCCCCACCCAGCCCAGGGTTTTTAACCTGACTTTCCTGCTCCTAACCTAGGAGAGATCAACAAGATCAGCAGGGGAGGCACAGGGAGGACCACGCGGGCCTCTCTGGAACAGGAAGGGCTGCTGCACCTCGTGCTCTTCATGGGGCACAGACTCGGGACAGGGCAGACACCCAGACATACACTCCAGCAGTGCTGGTGGGACTCAGCTTTCCACATCCAGAGCTGGTTCTCACCCTGGCCTCAGGCTGGACCCAGCTCTCAGGTGCAGGAGGCACAGCTTACATCCTGGCCCACCAGAGGATGGGCAACACATCTTCTTTTTCCCACTGTGTGTCTTCTCTGTGTTAGGGGCACAGTGGGAACCTGGAAGTGCCTGCCAAGGCCTCCCTCTTGTTCAGAGGCCTCGGGTTCCTCACACTTATTGTTGGGCAAAAGCTCGGCTCTCTGAGGGTTGACCAGGCAGTCAGCAGGGCCCATGGGCTTCTCCTGAAGTGGTCAGAGGAACCTATTCTGTTTGTGAAGGGTTTTTCCTTTTTCCTGATGAGAAGGTGGCTGGTAATGAGTGCCAGTGACACCACCACTGTTCCTGAGCTGCCAGGCCCCAGCTCCCCGCCATCCCTGGGATTCTGTCATGGTGGACCGACAAGAGCTGCCTGCCCAACCTCTTCCTGTCCCAGATACCTAAACCTTCCAGCGAGCCCTGGAGGCCCCCTGGGTTTCCGTTGCTCTTTAATGAGTCTGTGACCAGTACAGAGTGGGGAAGGTGGTGAGAACGAGAAGGGTGGGGAGAGGCATGAAGATGGCTGGTGCTGTGAGTGTGCATGAGTGTGTGAGTCTGAGTGTGTGTAAGTGTGTAAATGAGCATGTGTGTGAGTGCATGTGTCTGTGATTGTGACAGTACGTATGAGAGTGAGAGTGTGTGAGTGTGTGAGAGAAGGTGTAAGTGTGAGAATGGAAGTGTCTTTGCATGAGTTTGCAAGTATGTATGAGTATGGGCGTGTATGAATGTGTGTGGGTGCCTTTGTATGTGGGTGTGAGTGTGGTGCATGAGTGTGTGTGAGTGTGAGTACAGAAGTGTGCATGTGCACGTGTTATGTGTGTGAGTTCTGCATGCCTGGGTGTGTACACTGCTTCGGCTATCACTGGGGCTGACGGTTCTACTGGCAATTTTTGAGGTAGGGGTTTCCTCCCTTCTTCCCATTCCAGGAGGAGGAAGTTAAATTTGAGGACCAACAGAATTGTGGGGTGGCTTGATGGGAGAAATTGTGGCTCATGAAGGCTTGGAGATGGATTCCTTGAGGTTGTTGGGGATTTTACCTCTGTGACTCCCCTCACTTAACTGCTCTTCAGTCTTAAGCTTATGTGTTACCTTCTCCCCAGAATCCCTCCTGAGCTGACTCCACTGTCTGGTGGCCAGGGGCTTCCTCCAAGCTCTGGCCAGTGCGCCCTGCTTCCCTCTGGCTCAGCAGTGCACGTGATATTTATGAGTCTATCAGCTCCACTCAGATCTGAGCTTCTCTAGGATAGGGACACTCCAGATTCATCACTGCAAGTCAAGTGCCAGATGTAGGGCCACACCTAGGAGGGCCTGGGGTGTTTGTCCAACGTGTGTGCTAGCAAAGCCACTTGGGGAGAGAAGGGGCCCGGAGTTAGGAAAAATATGGGGAGGTCTTTGCCATGGTCCAGGTGTGAGAAGATGGGACAAGGGCTTGGGTAGTGGGGAGGAGGAGAGTTGGGAGCCTCCACACTAGGGGAGGTTGAGAAGGGTCAACTCACTGGCCACCAGCTCATTGACCTCCCAGCCAGGAAATAGCCACCAATGGTCCCTCGGCCTGCACGGATGGACGACTGGAAAGGAAATAGATAAGATGAGGATTTCTCAAGCTTCTCTCCAACCTCTGCCCTGACCTCTCCCTGCAGATTCTCTGCCCCTTGGTGCAGGCGCTGTGGAGAGAGAGGGTGGAAACTGAGGCAGAAGAGAACTGCCTGAGGCTGGTTTCACTGTTTCTAAGCTATGCATCTTGGGAGAGTCACTTCCTCTGTGAGCCTCGTCATTCATCTCCAGGGCCAGCGCAAAGAGCAAAGAATGTCATTGTGAGAGGTCATTGTGCACTCTTGTCCCCTTAGGCTTCCCTCCCCAAAGTGCGCTTTTGGAGGGTGATTTAGTATCTCCTCCTTAGGTGTGTAGAGCTCACCCTTTCTCTGAGCTGACACCTCCCTGCTCCCAGCCAGGCTCCCACACTGGAGGCAGGAGGACAGAGAGGGCTTCAGTTTGACTGTGAGACTGAGCCCTGAACAGAGTTACGGGCACTGTTTTGGGAGTTCCCTTGACCTGGTGTGAGGTCAGACCATGCCACTGAGCCCGGTCCAGGACCTTCCTGTCTTGCACCAGTAGGTGGTCAGTTAGCAGCCTGTTGGAATGTTCTCTGGAGGCGGGGTGAGGGCAGGGCAGTGGGTAGGGACTGATGACCTGGAAGCAGCTATTCAGATGCAAAAGCCAACAGCTCTCTGACTTTCCCTTAGGGAAAGTAATCAGTCACCAGGGAGTGATAAATGTGTGTGGGGCCTTATGCTTGTTCAGTTTTTGCTTGTATTGCCCTTGTCACCTCTGATCCTCTTGGAGGCCATATGAGAAAAACAGATCCATTTTAAAGAGGTGAAAACGGAGACCCAACATGGGAAGCAATTTGTCCAAAGTCACAAAGCAGTTGGTACTTTTTTCAGCTGGCCGCTTCCAGGAGCCAGCGATCATCTGTTAGCCAAATTCTTCCTTACACCAGCACTAGGAGGCAGGGACTGTTCACCCACGCTTTACAGATGAGGAAACTGAGGCCCAGAGAAGGTTTCTGACCTGGCCACAGCCTAGGAAGTGACCAGCTGGGACCTGAATCACAGCAGAGTCTAAAGGTGCTCGCACTTCTGCAGAACGCCGTGGTAATAATAGCAGTCATTTATTGCATGCCAGTCGGGCACCAGGCACCATGCCAGGTGCTGCAGTGTGTCCTGTTGCTGAATGATCACAGCTTAGTTCTTACTCTCATTGTCTGCCTAAGAGCTGAGGGTCAGAGAGGCCTCCTACGTTGTTCCCAGGGCCATGAGGCTCTCGCTGTTGCAGCTGGGACCTGAACTCAGGTTTCTCTGACCCCAAAGCTTGGCCCCTCCTATAGCACTGAAGCTCCTGGGAACAAGAGAGAACAGAGGGACCTTGGAATCAGCCTGGCATATTTCACTGAGAGCACACGAGCCCTTACTTCTTAAGAAATCACCTTAGCCAAGATGCTAACAAATGCAGGACTGAGGTAGGGCCAGGGGTCAAGAGTTCTCAGACTTGGGGGTCTTGGGGTGGGCCAGAAGGAAGGAGTAAGCCTCAGGGCAACCAGGGATGGTTGGGCCAAAGACAGCAGGTGCACAGAGAGGAGTCAGGAGTCAGGGGCCTGGTCTGCCTCTGGCTGTCTGTCTGTGTGACCTCAGCCCAGTGACATCTTTCTCTGTCCTTCTAAATAGATCAGGAGCCTGATTCCTGAAAGCCCTTCCATCTCAGCCCCATGGTTCCATGATCTGCTTCCTTCTGCCTAGCCCTGCTCCAGCTCCACGGCCCTACCCAAGCTGAGAGACCGCTTCTACCTCCCCTGCCAGTGCCAGCCTCAGGGCCCACTTACCCAGATCCCCACGGCAATGACAAAGACGAAGTAGATGACCACCACGATGATGTCATAGGTGTGCAGACCAACTCTGGGATCCAGTGCTGAGTGTGGAGCTGTCTCAGTCCTGACCCCGTCCCCTGAAGCTCCAGGCCCCATTGCTGCCAGCTCCTTGCTCATCTGTTAGTGTTAGTCACCAGCAGGCTGGACTTTGAGGTGATCCTGGCTTCATTCCTTTCCTTTAATGATTAAACTGCCCCAAGAACCATTAGTTGGTGAGAAAACTCAGCCTGTTGGCACATACAGTCCTGCCTCCTTTCTTCCCAACTGCCACCCCCAGCCCCTGCAGGACTCCTTCCTTCCCCTTCCCTGCTGCCACTATGTGCGCACACATACATGCGTGTGTACACACGTGCACATATATACACGCAATCTCCCTACCCCCAGAGGAGCTGGAGAAGAAACAGGAAGAGGAGGAGAAGGAGGAGAAAAGGAGCAAAATATTGGAGGACCAGAGATGGGAAGGTCTTCAGAAATCAAAGTGTTCAAACTTCTGTGTGGTGGGGAAACCAAGACCCAGTGAGGTAAAACTGGAGCTGGGACTAGAGTCCAATTTTCTTAATAGTTCAATGCAATTTTCTTTTACCTAGTGGGAGGGAGACAAAGGGAAGAAGGAGAGGAGTCTACTATGACCCTAGCAAAGCGGCCACCGCCTCATGCACTCCCACTCCAACCTACTGAGACGTTGGGTTCTCTTTTGATATAGTGTAGGAAACTGAGGCCCAGGAAGAGACCATGGTTTATTCCAAAAAACTAAGCAGGGCCAACTCCAAAAAGGCAGAGCCAGAATCCACATTTTCTGATGCCTGACCCATTCTGTGCTGTGACAGATGAAATGGCTGGGGTCAGGAGGCCGTCCCTGAAAAGAATACAGTCCAGGGAAGACCATCCCTGGGACTCAGGCAGCCTAGATTCCAGTCCCAGCTCCACCTCTCACTGAACTACAGATGCTCTTGGGCAGGTTGCTAATGTCTCTGGGCTGGGTGACCTGTGCCCTGCCTGCCTCACAACACCAATGAGGCTAAGATGTGCTCCTGAGAAGCTCTGCAAACCCTGAGATACTGAACGTTCTTGGGGTTAACAAGGAGAAACCGACATTGACCACCATCTAGCCAAGGGGCCCAGATGCCAAGCACATAGATGTCTGCTCGCATGGCCCTTCCAAAGTAGCTGCATTTGGAATCCTTCAGTATTACAAATATTAACCTGCATGCTGTAGGGCCCAGACCAGAGTAGCAGGAAAACTCACAGGCACTGTCCTGCACCCTATCCCCAGTATCCCATGAGAATCCCAAGTGGTTGTGAGGACCAGACTTTCTTTTGCCCCATTTTGGTGGAAAGGAAATGAGAGGCAGGGTTCTAGGCCTTCTCTCCCCAGTTCTCCTATCCCAGAATATCAGGCACAGACCACGCTGAGCCCCAAGGAGAGGGGCACTGATCTGGGAGAGAGGTCAAGGTAGTCCCCAGCTGGGTCGGGGCTCTGTGGATCTAGCACCCATTAGGATTAGATACCTGAACAAGCGTCCTTTATATACACATTTAGGCAAGGTTATCAGATAAACAGGGAAGCATGAGGGGCAGCATTAGAAGCATCAGGAAAATGTGAAGGACCAGGTGCCCTGTGGTCCCTGGGGGTGAGCTGGATACAGGGGCAGTGGGAAATGAGGCTGGCAGATCTCTGGGTGTTAATCAGGGAACAGGGAAGGAGTGGTCTGAGCTTAGGCCCCTGTGTGCACCACAGTGAGGGCTGTGGGTCCCAATGACTCTTGCAGAGAAGGGAAGAAGAGTGCTGCAGGGAGAGGACAGCTGAGTCTTGTGCTTCTTCCCATGCTCCCCATAGGGAACCTCCTCACCCAGCCCTTGGGGTTTGCTATAGTTTAGATGCCTGCGTTGCCTCCAAAATTCATGTTGAAACTGAATCCCCATTCAACAGTGCTAAGAGGTAGGGCCTTTAGGAGTGACTAGGCTGTGAGGGCTCCTCCCTCATGGATGAGGTCAGTACCTTATAAAAGGGAGAAAGGAACTAGCCAGACCATTTTGCCTTTTTGCCTTCTGCCATGTGAGGACACAGCCACAAGGTGCCATCTTAGAGGCATAAACTGGGCCCTCACCAGACACTGAACCTGCTGGGGCTTTGTTCTTGGACTTCCAGCCTCCAGAACTGTGAGAAATAAATCCCCGTGGTTTATAAATTACCTGGTCTTAGGCGTTTTGCTGTAGCAGTAGGGACAGGCCAGGACAGTGTTCTGTTGCCCACACACTATCCCCATCCACCTCACAGGTGCCCAAGTCTGACCCCCCAACCCATGCACACTTACCTAACCCAAAAGTAGCAGGTTTGGGTTTATAGTAGCCTCTCCTCAAATGCATCTAAGACTTATCTGTAAGCTAACCAGGCACATTAGCAGCCCAGAGACCAACAGAGCACCAGGACGTGAGCAAAAAACGGCTTTAAAACAGCCAGAATAGACATTCTAAATCCCGTGGACAAAACCTAAATCAGTGAGCCTTATCAGCAAGCCTTGTGACCCCACTCAGAGCCTGTTTATTTTTGTTTTACCAGAGCTTTGTTGTTCATATTCCAACTCACAACAAATTAGAAGAGATGGGGCAAGGCTACTTAGGGACAGCAAGGAGAATGGCAGCTGAGGGGCTGATGGTGCATGAGAGGTCACTGAAACTCGAAACAGGAAAGACAATGTAAAAGGTGACCAAATTGGGGCAAGCAGACCTATAAAACCGGGTAGGTCAACTCTTAACAAACGGCATTCTTGAGTAGCAGCCAAGATTCACATGCATGCGGATGACCCAGAGTCATCAAGTAAAGATGACTGTGGCCATTAGGAGTTTTCTATTTAGAAGACATGGAGTATGAAACCCAGGCAGGAAGAGTTTCATGTGAAACGGTCAAACATTTTAGGCAGGTGTTGACATTCAAGACCAAGACCTCAATTATCCAGAATATTCTCTCAGAGAACTTCCCAGTGTGAAGGGTGTCTTCGTGCTGTCAGTCCCACACGAAGTGAGGCCTGTCTTACCCCTGGCCCTGTGCAGGAAGCACACGTCTTTAGTTGTTCATGCCTTGTGGGGAAGACAGATGGTCACAAGACAGGTGCCTTTGACACAAAACAGGTCACATTCGTCCCCCTCTTTCTTCCTTTTAGCTGGAGAGCCCAGAGGAAGGAGCAATGGAGTCTTGTTGGAGAGACTGAGAAAGCTTTATGGGAAAGGGGAGTGGTTTCAGCCATGCACAAAAAGTACAGAAATATAACAGGCCAATAAATGAAGTTGCCACTGAGGCACTAAGATTTAATGCACATAAGAAGAACAAAGTTGGAGGTTTCATGCATCCTAATTTTAAAACTCACTACAAAGCTACAGTCATGAAAGCAGTGTGGTACTGGCATAAAGACAGCCATATAAACTTACGGAGTAGAACAGAGAGCCCAGAAATAAAGTCTCACAGATACAGTTACGTGATTCTGGACAAGAGTGAGAAGACCACTCAGAGGGGAAATGACAGCATTTTCGACAAGCAGTGCTGAGAAAACTGAATATCCATATGCAAAAGGAAGAAGTTGAGCTCTTACATTGGGCCATATGTGAAAATTAACTCAAGATGGATTGAAGACTTAAATGCATGAGGGAAGAAAGCAAAATTCTTAGAAGAAAACATAGGGTAAAATCTTCATGCCATTGGCCTTGGCAATAATTTCTTGATGACATGCCAAAAGCACAGGCAATAAAAAATGAATAAACAACTTCATCAAAATTTAAAACTTTTGAGCATAAAAAGACACTAACAACACAGTGAAAAAGCAACCCATGGAATGGGAGAAAATATTTGCAAATCATACATCTGACAAGGGATTAATATCTAGAATATATGAACAATTTCAATAAATCAACAGAAATGAAACATACAACCCTACTCAAAAATAAGCAAAGGAGTCAAATACACAATTCTCCAAAGAAAGTATACAGGTGGCTAAAAAGCATATGGACAGATGTTCAACATCACTAATCATTGTATCATTGTGATAAAATATCACTTTGTACCCATTTGGATTACTATTATCAATGAAACAGAAAATAACAAGTGTTGACGAGGATGTGGAGACAGCGGAAACCTTGTGCATCACTGGTAGAAATACAGAATAGTGCAACCCGCATGGAAAACAGTATGGTAGTTCAGTTACTGTGATCCAGCCATTTCACTTTGGGTATATGCTCAAAAGAATCGAAAGCAGAGACTCAAAGAAATATTTGCACACCCATGTTTATAGCAGCGTTATTCTTAAGGGCCAAAAGATAGAGACAGCCCAAATGTCCAGCAACAGATGAAGGGATAAGCAAAATGTAGTCAATACATATAATGGAATATCATTCATCCTTAAAAAGGAATTCAGGCTGGGCATGGTGGCTCATGCCTATAATCGCAGTACTTTGGGAGGATCACAAGGTCAGAAGTTCGAGACCATCATGGCCAACATGGTAAAACCCCATCTTTACTAAAAACACAAAAATTAGCCAAGCATGGTGGTATGGGTCTAAAAAAAAAAAAAAGAAAAGGAATTCAGTGCGGACACATATTACAACACGGATGACCCTGACATTATGCTAAATGAAAGAAAACTTTTGAGTGGCCAAGAAATAATTACATAAGAAAACAATAGGGAGTTTACGAGGTGATGAAGAGCTCACATTGAAATCTTGACCTCTCACAAGCAATAGTCGATCGTTGATGCCCAGTCTTTTGCTGCCTTTTTTCCTTAGAACCTATAACTAGGGTGTCATCATAAGGACCAAAAATCGGTGACTTAAGCAACAGAAACAAATTCTTGGCTGCTATTCAAGAATGCTCTTTTTTTTTTTTTTTGATCATTCTTTTTTTTTTTTATTTTTTATTTTTAAGAATGCTCTTTTTTTTAATTGCATTTTAGGTTTTGGGGTACATGTGCAGAACGTGAAAGATAGTTGCATAGGTACACACATGGCAGTGTGATTTGCTGCCTTCCTCTCCTTCACCCACATCTAGCATTTCTCCCCATGCTATCCCTCCCCAGCTCCCCGCCGGCTGTCCCTCCCCTATTCCCCCAATAGACCCCAGTGTGTAGTGCTCCCCTCCCTGTGTCCATGTGTTCTCACTGTTCATCACC